AGGAGCCTGTATTAATTAAAATATATCTCTGAAGTATAGAGCCTTTGAATCTCCTTAAGATCTGGCAACCACCATCTATGGGATTATGTATGAGTTTTCAAGAGAAATTGGCACTTTTATTTATATATTGAATTGATTTTGGACATTTTGGGAATACCCCCTTGAAATCAAGCTGACAGTTGAAGCGAGAGCTTCACACTTAATTTTTTTATTATTGATTATTTAAAAAAAATAAAAAAAATAAATGCATCTCACACAGTATTACTTATTTAAAAGCATTTTGCAGCAAGCAGTTTACATCAAGATGTTAGCAGGCAGTTATTTAAATGTGCATGGGGATTTGGGATAGTGTTCAGGTAACTTATTTTCTTAGTTTTTTTTGTTGTATGTTAGCAGGCAATTACTTTTTTTCTATATATATAGAATTCATATACTGCAGGGAATAAATTGATTCAAACAGATTTCTAAAATAACTGTCTTGGATTGTTAAGTGATTTCCCTGCTGGAGCATTAAGGTTTGCAGTCCCATTCGGATTGCCAGGTGCACCATATTTTCCTGGACAAATCCATTCATCATGCTGCAGACAGCACATGAAGTAGTGCCCTGCACAAATTTGTAATTTAAGCATTTATATCCTGGGGCTAGCGTTGTCAAATCCAACATGTTTTCCTGTTCCCCTTCACTTATTCCTGTTGAGGGACAGCACATGAAAAGTGATATATTAAATTCTGACATTGTAAAATTCTCCAATAGTTAAAGGGACACTATAATCACCAGAACAACTACAGCTTAATGTAGTTCTGGTGAGTATAATCATTCCCTTCAGGCATTTTCAATGTTTACATTGCCCCCTAGTGATACCTCCAGTGGCCACTTATCAGATGACCACTGGAGGTGCTTCCTGGGGCAGTGCTGCTGTTCAGCATCTCCACGCTGTGCATGGAGACTCAGAATTTTTCTCATAGAGATGCATTGATTCAATGCATCCCTATGAAGCTGATTGGCCAAAACGGCGCTTGGCACTGCTCCATTCTGCCTCCCTGATGATTTTCAGCCAATCCGATGCTTTCCCTCTTGGCAAAAAAAATTAAATTCTGATGATGTGACCAAGGAGATAGAACACTGGCCCTGCCTTGATCTATCAAAATCCCCTACCCTCATCACGTCCGGTGAGAGAAATCAGCTGGATCCTGTGCTGCACATGCGTGCTAGCACTCCTGCTACTTCTCCACAGCAAGGTCCTGGAAGGTAAGTAAAGCTAGTTTTACACTTTCGTTATAGTTAGTGCATTCACTAAGTTTAGGCACACGGGACATTTAGGGTTAAGTGAGGGTTCAAATTAGGGATGACCTTTTCTCATATTTGGAAATGGGTGGTGCTTAAGTCAAGTTACATATCAGTTGCTAAACTGATTTACCCACAATGCATTAGTCAAAAGAATCCCACAGAAGCACAAATTGCAGGCATCACGGACAGAGAGGAAAACAAAATTAACTTTTGTTGAGATCGGGCAATAAATATAAATAAAGTAAGATGGCAATGGAGGGAGTGTAAGATACAAACCGCATTAGCAAAGAAAAAAAAACAAACCACCCAGCAGTTGTTGTTTCATTGACATGACTCACGGATAGTAAGGTCACTGAGTATTCCTTGGTCTCTACTTCTACAATCCTCCGCTGGTCGTAGCCCATTAGGTGTCCCTGGCTCACAGTGATCTTGTGGAGGCAGAGCACAGAGTGGAAGGGGTGCTGGGATGTGATGGTAGGCTTTTCAGGGAGGAGATAGATGAGAGTCCTGTGCCAGTTGTTAGAATGACAATGTGGGGAAAAAAAACAATACAAATCAACAGGAAAAGTGATCTCTGGGACAGGGCCCATAGTCTGTGAGAAGGAGGTTGCAGGATGAGGACTTTCATGACAAATGTCATATTAGTTAATCTGTATGTCAAATGTAGTTCATTTCAATGTTTCTTGATTAAAAGTTGACCAGTAGGTTGAAACTAAGATCAGATAATTACGGTGTAGATTATTCATTTATTTCAGATGACTTAAAGGTAGGCAGACAATGTAGTAGAGCAGCAGGAAATGCAAGCAGAATGCTTGGTTGTATAGGGAGAGGAATTAGCAGTAGAAAGAGAAAAGTGCTCATGCCATTGTACAGAACACTGGTGAGACCTCACATGGAGTATTGTACGCAGTACTGGAGATCGTATCTCCAGAAGGATAATAATAGTTTAGAGAGAGTTCAGAGAAGAGGTACTATCAATCAACACAGTAAAGGAGGAGACTATATTTAAAGGTGCCAGGAAAACAAACTCGTTTTCCTGGCACTATATAGTCCTTTAGGGCCCCCTCCCACTGGGCTGAAGGGGTTAAAACCCCTTCAGCCACTTACCTTTATCCAGCGCCAGGCTCCCTCGGCGCTGGTGATCTCTCCTCCCCCTCCAACGTCAGCTCCCGTGTGGAGCCGAATGCGCATGCGCGGCCAGAGCCACACGCGCATTCAAACTGCCCATAGGAAAACATTACTCAGTTCTTTCCTATGGACGTTCTGCGTGCTCAATGTGATTTTCGCATTGAGCGTTGCAGAAGCGCCTTTAGCAGTTGTCAGGAAGACAGCCACTAGAGGCTGGGTTAACCCTGCAATGTAAATGTTAAAACCTGGGTGATCTGGCACCCAGACCACTTCATTGAGCTGAAGTGGTCTGGGTGACTATAGTGGTCCTTTAAAAGAAGAAAAACTACTACGACAAGAGGACATAGGTTTAAAAAATAATATCAGGAAGTATTACTTTACAGAGAGGGTAGTGGATGCATGAAATAACCTCTACCACATGAGCTGGAAGGCTAACACAGTGAAGGAGTTTAAGCATGCATCAATATGAAAATGTCATCTGTTTCTGAAAACATATTGAATTTGGCTATGGACCGTAGAAATCTGACAACCCCCGAAGCATTGCTGTCCCTGTAAAACACTGACTCTGACATTAGCTCAGCAATACTATCAAAGGTTAAGTGAGTATCATAATTGGTTTTCTGGTCTAGACATAGCTTACTGGATAAGCTACAAACATGAGAATTTATTACTTATTTGTTTATTTATGGATGCAGAGACAGGCAAGTGGTCATCCTAACACCAGTAATTTCTCACTGTTTGGCTTCAAGGATAAAACTAAGGAGAATAGAAGTAAAAGATTAGAACTGCAGAAAAACAAATCACTTGTTCTAAAGCCTTCCTTTATATAGGAATCATTTCATCAACAGCACAACTGAAAACCATTTACACTTCCACCCAGGTTTTTAACACTTTACCACCCTATGCTACTCATTCAAGTAGGAGCTAGCAGGGCATTCCACAGATTCAGATGAGGTGAAAATATAGTATAATATGTATAAGGTATATTACCACCTTCTAGCATGTCCTCATATTTTCACAGTGTGCTTGAACAGGTGAGTCAGTTTAGTAGCCTGTGTAAGAGGGTGGTTCCTCTGAGCAGAGTAAAACATGAAGCTGCAGTAGCACAGCTTTTTTTTATACTTGCTTTTGGCCTAAACGTTTAGACATTTGTATTTATTTGTTTGCATCGCCAATGTTATTTAAAACAAACCAACAAATGAATTAATGAATGTTAAATCTGTCTAATCTCCTTCCCATCTCTTCAATTCTGAAATTCTTCCTTCTGGTTATTGTATGTGTGCCCACCTCCCTTTCATCTCTGGATTTTAATTATTATATTTACTTATCCAAATGTTCAAGAAATATGTATTTGTGTGGTGTGAAAAATTGAAATGTAGAATATCCACACCCCTTTTCCTGCAAATGGGTGCCTCCATTTTGGCTCCTTTTCAGTTATTGTTATAAACTCTGTCCCTTGCACCTGACAGTAAGCATTGAGAAATTTATACAGAGAAGAGGAGAAACAAAAAGCCATTAATACTCTAGATGCAAATGTCTCATACATGCATGCAACTGTTTGCAAAGGTAATAAAGTCCCCAAACATTTGTGGGCAGTGGTGTATTTAGGATGCTTGGGCACCCCCCCACCCCACAGTTTAAACTTTACCCACCCCTTCCTGTCAAGGCCGCACTTTGACTGACAGACGCATACACTCTCATATACACTGACAATGACATACGCACACACACACACTCACTTACAGACACATACAGATTTCACCCAACAATCACAAATTATTATTTTTTTTATTATTATTTGAAATCCACCCAGCCTCCCTGGGAGAGCTGGAGTGAATTACTTACATGTGCAGTAGGGCTGCTGGGCGGACAGGCAGAGTTGGCGGCGAGGAAGCTCTAATCTTCCTGCTCAGCTCCCTCACGCGCCGCTTAGTGCTGCGCCGCTTCATTAAGCGGCGCAGAGGGAGCTGAGCAGGAAGAGCTCAGGTGAGCATACCCTCGCTGCCCGCCTCGGGGGGGGAGGGAGTTAAAAAGTGGCCAGCCGGCCAGCTCTTGAGCCCCCAGGACACGAGACAAGCAAGGGATCTGTTTGGGGGTGGCTTTTTTTGCTGCCCCCTGCAAAGTGCCTCGCGGAAGACACGTCCCTGTTTGTGGTTATGTTCTGATGCCTCTCAAGATTTCCATCCACATCTACTAAAATACAAGTATCTCTTTGAAACTAAAGGGGGTATATGCTTCCCAAGTTTCCCTTTTTTGTCATTCTTTTCTATCCTAATATCTCTTTTGTAGGAGCTCCATATTTATGATGTGTCTTAGTATATAACAGAGTTCCACAGCATTAACACTCACAGTAATGTGTATTTAAACTGCAATAAACGTGTCTAGCAATCAGTCTGTGTAAATAAGATACATTGTTCTTGTGCTAAATTACATTTTAGTTGCATACATTTTTATTTGTAAGTCGCCTGAAATTTCTCAAAAGAGTCCTGTCCTGTCCCGGGCCACACCCCCCTCACACACCTAAAATAAAAATGTCCCATTTGAAATGTTGGGCGATATGGTGTATAAATGTTTGTGGTTCATTGTTATTCCATTTTTTTTAGGCAATCAGCTCCCTTAAGAAGTATCCCTTGCCGCTGCACAACGGAAAAGAGGCAAAAATTCTGCAAAACTTTGGGGACGGTATCTGTAAGATGTTAGATCAGCGACTGGAGAAGCATTATGCGGAGAATGGTGTGTATACAGTTTGATAATGTTAAGTAAATACCAGGCCTTGCAATGTTGAACCCTAACAAATTAAATATCCAAGTAGCAAACGTTAGTGGATGCTACTTTTTCTTTTTGCATATTATCCAGGAAAGTTATATGCTAAATCTTACTATCTGTTGGCACTTTTTGTGAGGATAGTCTATAGCTACTTAGGCTGGATACATTCCTAGAAGCATGGTAGCCGTTTGGTCTTCAGATTTTCAGTTTTTTGTGTGGGTGAAAAAAAGCCCTTTTTAAAAAATGTATTAGATTTTTTACATATTATTCTTTATAAATAGTCTGGCACAGTCACAGGAGAAAAAGAGGTAATATATGACTGAGCATAATAGTACCCAATATGGAATAGTGAGAGAAAAACCATTAGGCATTTCCATTGAAACACGATCTTTACATGCCCAAAAGGCTTTGAAAGTAAAAAAGAAATACCACAAAAAGCAGGAACCACACGAGGTGCAAATCTTACGGAGGTTGGCATAAACTCCTTATACATATGGAAATACCAAAGAAGGTCCAGGCACACAAGGGTTCATTGTCATGCAGTTTTAATGTAACTTCATGTATAGATCAAGCAGCAACGTTTCAACCTCACTCCGAAAAGACCTCGATGTTTTGACCTGACATCGAGGTCTTTGTCAAGCTTGACTGGTCAAAACATTGCTGCTTGTTCTGTACATGAAATTAGTTTAAAACTGCCTGTCACTGAACCCTTATGTGTCGGGACCTTCCTTGGTATCTTTTTATCAAATTACAGTTTAAAAAAAAAAAAGGGAAAACCCCCCCCCCACAACATCATATACTAATAAAACCACAATCTATATACTATAGAAAATGGTCAAACCCATATATATTTCTTCCCAAGGTGCCCAAACCCTAGTTAACAACTTTATGGAGTTATGGACCATAGCAGCAAGTGTATCTATTTAATAGTTTACTGCTATTTACCTTTTTACTTCAACCATAGAAGGAGTTGAGTTTAACCAACCAGCCGCCAATGCCCTCCTAGCTGCCAGCGTAATTCCTCGCACATTGGTAAAGGGGTCATTACACTGGGTAAAAATGACCCACTGAAACCGGTTTACAAGGTCTTATGGACAAACGACTGCCAGGGAGCGAGTATTCAGATGAATTCGGGAGGGGGAAGTCACTGAACCAGGGGAACCGGAAATATGACTTGTGGGGAGGTCGGGCAAGTTAACTCCCGAACGGTGTATCCGGACACAGTTGATAATTTGAGTGTTAGAACGTAAACTAGTATGTAACATGAGGACACTCTGTCAAACTCAAAAATTGTACATACATACCTGCACCCAAAAGAAGGTGCTTAGCAACCAGCTGCCAGTTATTCTCCAGTAACCTTCACTGTCTCTTCCAATTGGTAAAGTTCTAGGCAGGAATTCTGGAATCTGTAACCATCATTTACCAATCCCCTACCTGCCAATTGAAGCACAACTAAAGGAACAGGGAGGATATTTGTTTTACATTTATTGAACTTCAGGACACAGTAGTGCTGCAGTAGACTGGAACACCTTATTCTCATCACCAGTAATTGTAAGCTACTATATATATGGGATAGAGGCGCCAACAGTGTTCACTGCTCTCTGTTATCGGTTTCCCAGGTGCCTGGATGGGCCCCTGCTCCCATGAGAGAATACTGCTTATTACTAATAATAATGCTAACCGTGTGGGTAATAGTAAAAAGAGGTCTGACGCCTTGTGTAAATCGTTCACTAAAATGATAGACCAATATGATCTATACAATGCCTGGAGGATATTGCACCCAATGGATAGGGATTATTCCTATTACTCGAGAGTGCACAACACTTATACGCGCAAAGACACCTTTTTCTGGACAGAACAATGCTACCCAGCTTTCATGTTGTAACATTGGTGACATAACATGGTCGGATCCAATCTGGTTTATTTAGATCTCCTTAATACGTTTCAATTTAAAGGCTGGTGCTCCTGGCGCCTTAATAAATCCCTCTTGACTAATGACTCTTTTGCAAATGACATGGAGCAGTGATACAGGACTAATTTGAGACAAATGTGGGTACAGAGGTGCCGGATTTTACAGTATGGTTAGTGCATAAGGCAGTAGTGAGAGGACTATTTATCCAACGTTCTTTTCTCAATAGACATCAAACCACCTTGCATGCCATAAACAAATTGCTATAACCTCTTCACAGAACAAAATCCTCCCTATTCCAGATCCAGCAGCAAAACTAAATATTTATACTCCTGTAACATTTTCCTCCTCACCTTGCAGTATTTGCGCCCAGCGGCCGTGCGTCTACATAACTGACTCCTGCAACATGTTAATGGCCGCTGGCCGTGGCAGATCCACACCCATTTGTAGCCCCACATCCGCCCATGTTAATGACGACGTCGGCGTGTGTGTGATGTCATGCGGGAGATGCGCGCGCACATTCTGGGGTCAAAGGCCGATTTCGGTCAATCAAAGTTGTTAAGGGCTTATTTAAACATAATTCTACTTTTCCTCATTGCCCTGTCGTGGTTTCCCTTAGTGGTTGTTAGAGAGTGTTCCTGAGCATTTATTTCTGGTTATTGACTTTGGCTTCGTTTCACTTCCCTATATTCTGGTATCAGTGACTTCTGGCTTTTCCTTATCGTTGTGTTCCATTCTGTGTCCCCCAACCTCGGCAAGTATCCTGACTATTCTTTGGTACGTTAAGTCTGGCCATTCTAAGGCCTGGTAATACGTTACCTATTAGTCTTCAGTCTGACACAATCCTACATGCTGGATCAATTAGTAATCCTGACATTACGACATGGCCATAGATCCTGTAGAATTGTGTCAGCACAAAGCAGCTTGTGAGAGAAAGCTAAAGGAGAATGATCACTGTATGAATCAGTTTGCCCAGGCTTTCAGTATGCTTCTTACTCGAACAGCGCATCTACAGCCTATGGTTTCTCCAACTATGTCACCTCCGCCTAGTGTACCTCCACCTATAGTACATAAGGCACCTACTATCTCCTCCCCCGCATTTTGATGGTAATATTCAAGAATGCCAGGAATCCCTGAATCAAACTGAGTATCATTTTGAGTCCTCACCAGGATCTTTTCCTACGGATAGAGCTAAGACTGGTTACCTGATGAACCAACTTTAAGGTAAAGCCTTAGAGTATTCCACATAACTACCAGGAATTCTTTGCAGCATTCAAATTAACATTCAAACCATTAGGCAGGGAGGATGACGCCTCCACTGCCCTAATGCGTATCAAACAAGGTCTATCTCAGATTACGCCATAGAATTTCACACCTTGGCTTCTGAGGTAGACTGGACTAATAGCGGGTTAATCTCTGCATTCTAAAAGGGATTATCCAAGGCAATTCTGGACGAGATTGCTGCCAAAGATCTACCTAAAAAACTGAGTTTATCACATTTGTCAAGCAAATTTATAATAGCTTAAGAACCAGAGAAACTACCAGAAATAGATCCAGCAGTATGGCTATGTCATTAGCACCTAGTTTTTCCAGACCTATTGTTCTTGACCTCTCTGTTCAGTCCGAACCCGAACCTATGCAGTTGGGGATCACTAGACTGTCAGAAGCAGAAAGGCAATTTAGGAGAAAAGAGAGTCTATGCGGTAGAAAAGGATATATCAGGAGTGCTAGTCCCATACATCTGGAAAACTACTGCACCTAAGAACCTTAAGGGGACAGGTCTTAGGTGTGATGGATACATCCTCTGGGAATAACAAAAATAGATTTCTCCTTGATATTACGATCAAATGTGACAAGAAGAACTTTTCATGCAAGGCCCTGATGGACTCAGGTGTGGCAGGAAACTTAATTGATGTACATTTTGTAAAAAAAAAAAAAAAAAAAGTGCTATACCTATCAAGGAGAGATCACCACCTCTGGCCGTATAGCCTATTGATGGTAGACCACTCTCTCAACCCTTAATTAACCGCAAAATCTTTCCCATTAACATTTCCATTGGTGCCTTACACAAGGAAGACATAACATTCCAAGTAATTGCTTCTCCTTCTTCCCCATCATATTAGGCTTTCCTTGGCTTAGTAAGCACAATCCTCATATTGACTGGGCAAAAGGGGAAATATTGGAATGGGGCAAGGACTGTACTGAGATTTATGTTGCACATCACCAAAAGAGTGGGCATCATTACATTACCCACTAAAACGCCTCAGACCTCCAAAGTTACCATACAATACTGGGAGGAAAGATGGTGAGTTACGTCCATGCATAGACTACAGGGCATTAAACAAAATCACCATTAAAAATGCCTACCCAATTCCCCTCATTCCCAAATTGTTTGACAGACTCCAGGGTGCTAAAGTCTTTACTAAACCTGACCTCATGAGTACATACAATTTGGTTAGGATTAAGGAGAATCATGAGTGGAAAACAGCATTTAACACCAGAAGTGGACACTTTAAATACCTTGTGATGCCCTTCGGGTTGTGCAATGCTCTGGCCGTGTTCAAGGTCTTTATTAATGATGTACTCAGGGACTATATTTATTAATTTGTCTTATTCTATCTGTATGACATCCTTATTTGTTCCCCTGACATTCAGACTCACCACAAACATGTCAAACAACTTTACTTATAAATCAACTTTATTGTAAACTGGAAAAATGCATTTTTTAATCAGACTGAAGTACAGTTTTTGGGTTATAACATTTCTGCCTCTGGGTTTCAGATGGACCCTTATAAACTAGAAGCTGTTCTACATTGGCCATTGCCCAATGGACTAAAAGCCATTCAAAGGTTTATTGGGCTTGCCAACTATTACAGGAGATTTATCAAAGGGTTCTCTTCTGTGATAGCCCCCATCACTAATATGACACGCAAGGGGGCTAGCAGTACGATATGGTCTAAGGAGGTTAGGGAAGCTTTTGAAATTCTCAAACAAAGGTTTGCCTCTGCTGACATATTAAGACATCCCGACACCAGCAAACCTTTCATACTGAAGGTTGATGCCTCTGAAACTGGGGTAGGAGCTGTTCTAACCAGTCTTTGGAATTATATTTGCGTTGTTTTATTTTGTTAATAGCACTCAAGATAATTGGTCCGAATTACTACCCTGGGCTGAGTTTGCTAGAAACAATGCTAATCATGACTCTTCCGGTCATAGTCCTTTCTTTGTTAATAACGGTCGTCATCCTACTTTACTGCTGGCTGTTTTCTCTGACACCGCTATCCCTGCTTTGGATGATCACCTTGCTTCTATTCGTGATACGTGGACCAAGGTTCATTCTGCTCTCAAAATTGCGGCTGATCGTTTTAAATTTCATGCTGATGAACGGCGGGGTGCCAACCGTGTTTACCAGGTGGGTGAGAGGGTGTGGTTATCGTTCCTAGCATGAAGTTTGCTCCCAGATTCCTTCACCCGTTTCATATTCTTAGTAGAATTAATCCTGTTTCATATTCTTTGGCTCTACCTAGCTCCTTGCGGATTCCTTATACCTTTCATGTTTCTTTGTCAAACCACTTGTTTGCATTAAGTATACTGTCCCAGGTGTTCCCCCTCCTCCATTGGTTGTTTCTGGTCAGGAAGAGTATGAGATGATCTCCATAATTGAGTCCAGATTTTCTCGGAGCTCTTTGCAGTATTTAGTTGATTGGAAGGGGTATGGGCCTGCCGAACGTTCTTGGGCTCTGGCCTCTGACATTCATGCTGGTCGCTGTGGCTTCACACCCAATTATAGCCCACGTCCGCCCATGTTAATGACTACATCGGCGTACAAATGACGTCACGAGGAAAGTTTACTTTCTGAGCAAATTAAGAGCCAATAACTACCACAATAGCGGCAAAGCTACTAAATACCTTTCCTCAAGACTTTGTAACAAATATGCCAATATTAAAATTGCCTATATCATGGGTAAGGACGGTCTAAAAAAAGTAACTCCTAATGACATTAGCCAAGAATTCGCAAATTTTTATTCGAAATGATATAATCTAAAGACCAATGGGAATATTTACAATTCTAGCGATGACCAAATTAGCGCCTATTTACAGACTATAAAATTTCCCCAGATTAATCTAGCACAGGCTGGGGAGCTGATATAACCTATTAGACTTAAAGAAGTGTTAGATGCTATAGCTGGCTTGCCAATGGATAAAAAATGCCAGGTGCAGATTCCGATTATAAAAAATATGCAAGGGAACTAGCTCCCCGCTTATTGAAAATATACTATGAAGCCACAGCCACTGGGTCTTTACCATCCGAAATATTACTAGCTACAGTAGTTACCACTCCAAAATCCGATAAGTCCCCAGAAGCGTGTAAGAATTACCGTCCCATATATTTATTGAACAGACTAGGTAGTATTCTGCTGTCCCTTATCACCGATGACCAAATCGGGTTTGTCCAGGGAATATACATCTGAAATAGTTACCCCAGATAACACCAGAAAGCTTTCATTGATTTTAGAGCATCTCCGAGGGACCAGTGGGGGCATTGGATGCAAAATAGGCCTTTGACCGTCTCAGCTGGTCCTTCCTGATACAAGTATTACAGGCCTACGGGTTCCCCCCTCAGCTGATTACACAAATGTTTGCCTTATATTCCGCTCAAGTCATGCAAGCAGGTTTTTTGTCCAGCCCTTTCACTATCACCAACGGGACAAAACAAGGCTGCCCACTGTCCCCTATATTATACGTCCTCGCCTTGGAGCTGGTGGAAATTAGAGACCTTGCGCTTCCCCACTTTCCGTTTGAGGATGCCCCACAGATGCTATATAGGGTTTAGGTCTGGAGACATGCTTGGTCAGTCCATCACATAGAATGTGACGTCAGATAAGAACCATTCGGCCCATCTAGTCTGCCCAATTTTCTAAATGCTTTCATTAGTCCCTGGCTTTATCTTATAGCTAGGATAGCCTTATTTAGCGCACCCTGTATTTTTGTTGTTTCCTGTTCTCCCAGATTTATTGAAGGGTTTGAGGGTTGCCCTTCCCCTCAGGTCTGCAGCTCCATCCACCCCTGTAGTTAGTACTGTAGCGCTGTTCAACCCCAATTACTATTTTTTCTAGGATAGACTTATGCCTATCCCACGCATGCTTAAACTCCTTTACTGTGTTAACCTCCAGCCTTCCAGCTGAAGTGGTAGAGGTTAACACAGTAAAGGAGTTTAAGCATGCGTGGGATAGGCATAAGGCTATCCTAACTAGAAGATAAGGCCAGGGACTAATGAAAGTATTTAGAAAATTGGGCAGACCAGATGGGCCGAATGGTTCTTATCTGCCGTCACATTCTATGTTTCTCTTGTTCTGGTAGTTTTACTTCTTTTACATATACAGTCTCCTCCTTTACTGTGTTGATTTCCTTTATGTATTGAAATGTTTCTATTCTATCCCCCCGTCTTGTCTTTCCTCCAAACTATACATGTTAAGATCCTTTAACCTTTCCTTGTAAGATTTATCCTGCAATCCATGAACCAGTTTAGTAGCCCTTCTCTGAACTCTCTCCAAAGTATAAATATCCTTCTGGAGATACGGCTCCAGTACTGCGTACAATACTCCAAGTGAGGTCTCACCAGTGTTCTGTACAATGGCATGAGCACTTTTCTCTTGCTACCGCTAATGCCCCTTCATATACAACCAAACATTCTGCTAGTATTTCCTGCTGCTCTATTAAATTGTCTGCCTACCTTTAAGTCATCTGAAATAGTTACCCCTAAATCCCTTTACTCAGATGTTGAGGTTAGGACTCTATCAAATATTCTGTACTCTGCCCTTGGGTTTTTATGTCCAAGATGCAATGTCTTGCACTTATCCACATTAAATGTCAGCTGCCGCAACTCTGACCATGTTTCTAGTTTACCTAAATCATTTGCCATTTGGCTTATTCCTCCTGGAACATCAACCATGTTACATATCTTTGTATCATCAGCAAGAAGACATACCCTACCATCAAAACCTTCTGCAATATCACTAATGAAAATATTAAAGAGAATGGGTCCAATATACTCCATTGACTACAACCCTCTGTTGCCTGTCACTCATCCACTGCTTTACCCATTCAACAATATTGGAATCCAAACTTAAAGATTGCAGTTTATTGATAAGCCTTCTATGTGAAACGGTGTCAATAGCCGTACTGAAATCTAGGTAAGCAATGTTTACTGCACCACCCTGATCTATTATTTTAGTTACCTAATCAAAAAAATCAATAAGATTAGTTTGGCACGATCTCCCTGAAGTAAACCCATGTTGTCTCTGATCTTGAATTCCATATGATTTTAGATGTTCAACAATCCTATCCTTTAACACAGTTTCCATCACTTTCCCCACTACTGAAGTAAGGCTTACTGGCCTATAGTTGCCCGACACCTTTCTACTACCTTTCTTGTAAATGGGCACGACAGTCGCTAACTTCCAATCTTCTGAGACTACTGCTGTTAACAATGATTGGTTAAATAAATCCATTAATGGTTTTGCTAGTGTCAGGTTTTAAAACTGACATGTAAGACTTTTTTGTTTATTACTGGCCCTTTAAGTGAACTTCATGATTTTCTCCTCTAGTGGCCTCCCTAGCCACTAATCTATTCACTCACCTTAATAACCTCACCTGGATTAACTAATTAGGAGGCTTGATAGGTCTACTCCCGGCACACAACAGGGCCTTGACATTGAAGTCTATGCTGTGATAAAGAATCTCTGTTCCTGGTAATATCCTGTATTTTATCTACATTATTTCATTGTGTAGAGAACTTACCTGCAGTGCCTCATCCTGTACTCATCTGCATTTCCTCATACTGAAAGGCACTAACCTGCTGTCAGGGCTTACCTGAGTTGGGAGTCCGGCAGGCAGAGATATATGCTCACCCTTGCAAGTAAACACAGGCCGAGGTGGTCAGGTGAGAATTCACCTGGCCTGTGAGTCGGTTCACGGGGACTCTGCAGGTAAACTCCAAGTCGCGGTACAGGAACGGATAAAGCAGGAGAATCGTCGTGGGTAAGCCAGAGGTCAAAGGGTTCCAGAAATCAGGATTAACGAGAAGAAAGCCGAGGTCAAAGGATGCCAGAAGTCAGGATATACGGAGTAACAAGCCAAGGTCAGGAATCAACAGGAGCACACTGGAATACAAACAGCAATACTGAAACAGAGTCAAGGAACTGACACTGCCTTCTGGGAGAGGCAGTGTTTTATACCTGGCTAACGAGACCATCAACATCAGGTGTACCATGAGAGACAGGAGAAACTTCAATACACATCCAGCCCCCAGTGCTGGATACAAGACAGGCGAGATACTGGCATTACTAAAGCTGAATAGTAGCTCAGAGGTAACATAGCAGCCCCAGGACTTCAAAGGTTCAAATCCGCTACTGGGCACTCCTGGGGCATCCTTGTTTGGCACTCCAGAAGTTACGGTGGGAACCGTGATACCTGCATTACTTCATCCTGAACTTGCCCGAATTACATCTTACCGAAAGACTTTCGTTATCAGCTTCCAAGAATCCTGATTTGTGGCGTATTGCCTTCATTGAAGAATCTTAACTGCTTCAATTGCTGCATCACTGCATGATCTCGTCAGCAACCTGCATTATATTATTTTGGAATATACCTACCTGTTTCAACCTCTGCAACTCTGCATGATCCTGTATTGTCTTATCCTAAAAGGTATTTACCTATAAATAGCTGCATTGCAAAGTATCCTGGAAATCCTTAACTACTTGGTATAACTTCAAGCTTGCTTGTATACAAAATACTTTTTTCATTTTCTTTCTAAAGATCTTGTTTGTAGCATATCGCCTAAACCCTGTTTTTTCTCACAAAGTATCCTGTTTGTGGCAGACTGCCCTCTATTCTTTATTTTCAGTAAATTTGTTATGTCTCTCTGGCTCTTCCTGCATCTTTGGGGGTTCCCAACACTTTTCATGTGTCCTTATGAAACTGTCCCTATTATGATCTCTATTGGGGTCTCCCATAGGGAGGAGATGACGTTTCAGGTTATTACTTCTCCATCATGTCCTATCATATTAGGGTTTCCGTGGCTGAGTAAGCACAATCCCTATATTGACTGGGCTAATGGGGGGATATTAGAATGGGGTAAAGAGTGTATGGGGAGATGTATAAAACCAGTACTAAAGAGATTGGATACTATTGACCTTCCCACTACCACTCCCCAAATTCCTGGAGTTCCCATACAATACCGAGAACTTCAGGAGGTGTTTAACAAGGCTCAGTCCAATGTATTGCCTCCCCACAGAGCATATGACTGTGCCATTAACCTGTTTCCAGGCGCTATGCCACCTAAGGGGGCAGTTTATGCCTTATCTCCCCAGGAGAGTAAAATAATGGAGGAATACATTAAAGAATCCTTGAGCAAAGGGCACATAAGAAAGTCATCCTCACCAGCTGGTGCAGGATTCTTTTTTGTTGAGAAAAAGGGTGGTGAGTTACGCCCTTGCATAGACTACAGGGCACTTAATAAAATCACTGTAAAAAATGCATACCCTATCCCACTCATTTCCGAATTGTTTGATAGACTTCAGGGAGCTAAAGTATTTACTAAGCTTGACCTTAGGAGCGCTTACAATTTGGTTAGAAGTAAAGAGAATCATGAGTGGAAGACAGCATTTAATACCCGTAGTGGACACTATGAATATCTGGTAATGCCATTTGGGTTATGCAACGCCCCGGCCGTATTCCAAGACTTTATAAATTATGGACTCAGGGAATTCATTTACTCATTTGTCTTGGTTTATTTGGACGATATTTTGGTGTATTCCCCTGATCTTCAAACTCACCACTCCCATGTGAAACAGGTACTGCAGACGTTGTTGAAAAATAAACTTTATTGTAAATTAGAAAAGTGCATATTTGTCTAGCCTGAAGTCCACTTTTTGGGTTACAACATCTCTGCATCGGGATATCAAATGGATCCTAAAAAACTAGAGGCTGTACTACACTGGCCATTACCCTCTGGTTTAAAAGCCATTCAAAGGTTTATTGGTTTTGCCAACTATTACAGAAGATTCATCAAGGGATTTTCTTCTGTAATAGCTCTCATCACTAATATGACTCGCAAAGGGGTTAGTAGCACGGTATGGTCCAAAGAGGCTGTGAATGCTTTTGAGACTCTTAAACAAAGATTTGCCTCTGCGGACATACTAAAACATCCTGACACCAGTAAACCTTTTATATTGGAGGTTGATGCATCCGAGACAGGGGTAGGGGCTGTTCTCTCTCAGAGAGAAAGCCAGGGAACACCATTGCATCCTTGTGGCTACTTCTCCAGAAAGTTGTCTCCTGCTGAGCGCAACTACGATATTGTCAATAGAGAACTGTTGGCCATTATTCTTGCCCTCAAGGAGTGGCTACATCTTTTGGAGGGTTCCAAGGACTCCCTGCTGATCATAACCGACCACAAAAACCTGGCATATATAGGGGATGCCAAACGTTTGTCTTCCAGACAGGCTAGATGGTCACTGTTCCTTTCACGCTTTAACTTCCTCATTACTTATAGACCTGGTTCTAAAAATACCAAGGCTGATGCCTTGTCCAGGCAATTTGATAATGAGTCAGCTCCGGAACAGGTGACATCTCCTATTATTCCACCAGAGTGTATTATTGCTACTACTGTCCTCTCACTGTCTTGATCTCTCCTTCTCCTCCTCCTACCATCCACAGACCAATGGTACAGCTGAGAGGGCTAACCAGTCATTAGAAGTTTATTTGCATTGTTTTATTAATAGCACACAGGACAATTGGTCCGAACTACTCCCGGGGGCCGAGTTCGCTAGAAACAATGCTGTTCTTGACTCCTCTGGGCACAGTTCATTTTTTGTCAATAATGGTAGGCATCCTACGGTTCTCCCTGCGTTATTTTCTGATACTGCCATTCCTGCTCTGGATGAGCATCTGGCCTCCATTCGGGATACCTGGGTTAAGGTTCAAACTGCTCTAGGGGCTGCTGCTGAACGCTTCAAACATTTTGCTGATAAGCGTAGCAGTGCCAACCCGGTGTACCAAGTGGGGGACCGGGTTTGGTTGTTATCTCGCAACATCAAGCTTAAGGTCCCTAGCATTAAGTTTGCCCTCAGATTCCTTGGTCCCTATAAAGTGCTTCGTAGGATCAATCCAGTGTCTTACTCTCTGGCTCTTCCTGCATCTTTGGGGGTTACCAACACTTTTAATTTGTCCTTACTCAAACCTCTTGTTTGCAATAGATATACTGTTCCTTGTGTTCTTCCCTCTCCGGTGGTGGTGGGTGGTCAGGAGGAGTATGAGGTATCTTCTATCGTGGATTCTACGTTTTCTCGAGGCACTTTACAGTACTTGGTTATTTGGAAAGGTTTACGGTCCTGCTGATCGTTCTTGGGTTTTTGGCTCCTGACCTGCATGCGGGCCGTAATTTCCTCTCAAGCCTGGTCCTGCCCGCCCGGTGGGCGTTCTTCAGGTGGGGGGTAATGTCACATATTCATCCGCTTATAAAAATGTGGTTAATGACATTTACTGTCCACACAGGAAAAGTTGTGCCGAGCAGCAACCTAATCCACAGAAGGGTTAATGCTGAGCAGCAATTATGCAAATGAAACCTGGTAACTGACTTTGCGGTCAAAGGCCGGTTACAGCCTGTCAGATCTAGAGGAGAGGTCTTTAGGCCTAGTTCTCATCCTGCTCAGTGCCCTGTCGTGGTTTCCCTTGTGGTTGTCCGAGAGCGCGTTACTGTTTATAGTTTTCTTCCTGGTTTTGGAGTTTGGCTTTGTTTATTGACTTCTCTATATTCTGGTATCCTGACTCCTGGCTTTCCTTATCGCTGCGTCCCTTTCTGTGTTCCCTGACCTCGGCTAGTATTTTTGACTATTCTATGTACGTTAAATCCGGCCATTCTAAGGACCGGTAATACGTTACTTATTTGTCATCCGTGCTATACAGTTCTACGTGCTGGATCAAACAGTAATCCTGACACTAACGAATCCTTGTTTTACTTTCCTTTTAACTTCACCTTCACTTTTACCATCAGCTTCTTTAACAATGCAGTGGTCATCTTGGAGGTGTGTTTGGGGTCGTTATCTTGTTGGAATACTGCCCTGCAACCCAGTCTTCGAAGGGAGGGGACCATGCTCTGCTTCAATATGTCACAGTACTTGTTGGCGTTCCCTCAATGAACTGTAGCTCTCCAGTGCTGGCAGCACTCATCCTGCCCGAGACCATGGCACTCCCACCATCATACTTGACTGTAGGCAAGACATACTTGTCTTTGTACTCCTTACCTGGTTGCCACCACAGACACTTGACACCATCTGAACCAAATAAATTTATCTCAGTCTCATCGAACTACAGGACATGGTTCCAGTAATCCATGTACTTACTCTGCTTGTCTTCAGCAAACTGTTTGCGGGCTTTCTTGTGCATTATCTTTAGAAGAGGCTTCCTTCTGGGACAACAGCCATGCAGTCCAATTTGATGCAGTGTGCGGTGTATGGTCTGAGCACTGACAGGATGACCCCCCAACCCCTTCTACCTCTGCAGCAATTCTGGCAGCACTCATACATCTATTTCCCAATGAAAACCTTTGGATATGACACTGAGCACGTGCACTCAACTTCTTTGGTCGACCATGGCGAGGCCTGTTCTGAGTGGAACCTGTCCTGTGAAACCACTGTATGGTCATGCCCACTGTGCTGCAGCTACGTTTCAGGGTCTTGGCAATATTCTTATAGCCTAGGCCATCTTTATGTAGAGCAACAATTCTTTTTTTTCAGGTCCTCAGAGTTGTTTGCCATGCGGTGCCATGTTGAGCTTCCAGTGACCAGTATGAGAGAGTGTGATAGCGATAACAGCAAATTTGACACACCTGCTCCCCATTCACACCTGAGACTTTGTAACACTGAGTCACATGACACCGGTAAGGGAAAATGGCAATTGGGAACAATTTGGACATTTCCACTTAGGGGTGTACTCACTTTTGTTGCCAACGGTTTAGACATTGATGGCTGTGTGTTGTTATTTTGAGGGGACAGCAAATGTACTCTGTTATACAGGCTGTACACTTACTACTTTACATTGTAGCAGAGGGTCACTTCTTCAGTGTTGTCACATGAAAAGATATTATAAGATATTTACAAAAATGTGAGGGGTGTTCTCACTTTTTTGAGATTGTATGTGTGTGTGTATATGTATATATGTATATATATATATATATATATGTGTATATATATATATATATATATATATATATATATATATATAAAAACAGGGGGCTGCACTCACCTGAACATGCATAAACGGGGTGCTGCTGGGGGCTAATTTATACAATACACAAGATCCAGCACCTATCCACTAAACCGCAACATGGTGCGCCAATCAACAATATATATATTGTTTGGCATTGGAGCTGTGTTTGCATCTGTGAATGTACCAGTAGAGGAGCTCTAGTCCTGACCAGGACTTTTCTCTGCTAGATCTGAAGTAACTGGAACTCTGGAACAAGACACTGTAGAGTGAACTACTCTATCTCTCTCAGTAATTGGACGATACACAGTTCTGGGATTACAACTGATTTTTATTGTGCCACATTCGTCCTTTTATGTCTGGGAGTTAATTGAGTCAGAGACGGGTAACTCAATTATCTCTCAGTTACAGGGAACATACATATACTATACAGTTCCCCAAAAAACACATTCAAACTGCACAGGAACCCCACGTGACCCATTATCCCCGAATAGCTTGGATCTGAGCACCCAAGATGTCCAAATAGAGCTCAGATCCACATATAAGGGAATCACCTTTGGGGCAAAGTTTTGACCGGCCGGCCATGAGGTTGTAGCCCAGAACAGTTCCAGGAAGAAAGAGCCAGTGGCCGGTGAACTTTCGGGAGTTCCTGTGCGAACAAAACCGAATGCTCCCCATGGGTCTTAAGGAGTGAATACTCCCTTCAGGTGAATTAGCCTTTTCCCTCAAAAAGCGTTCTCCTGGCTTGTCTGTGAGAGGGGCAGACGGCAGTACAATTTCACCAGGGTTCGCGAAATGGAGTATCCAGAATTGTCTCCAGGCTTTCGACCAAGTACCGCTGCCTGTATTCACAAGACAAAATGGCTGCCATTCCATAAAGCATGTGCGTTCGTTCATAGGAATGGCGTTCAACCACAGAGAGCACTTGAGTTAATGACTTATTTTGAAGTTAATGAGCCAGGGGGTGGTCGGAGTTCATGAAGTATAAAAAGGGGAAACGATTCTTTGTTTAGAAAACGATAGGGGGTGTACGGACAACCGAATGAAGAGGGGACCAAGTTTGCTACAGTACCTACCTGAAAGCATGTTTGCAAGTAAGTGAACATGCCTTGTTATGCATGTGTGCTTAGATATGCATTTGTGTATGAGGTGTGTGAAGATAGATAAGTAAGTGTGGTTGTATAATAGTGTGTGTGTGGGAGGGTTGGGATTTAATTAAAATTATATCAATGCAGATGTGACACTGCCGGAAATATGATGCCACTAATGATTGAGAGGATTAATGAAGGGGAGGATTAATACTGAGGAAGGTAACTGAAGATGGGGTGGCATAGAGGGAGTAGTTGATTCTGGAGAAGGAATATAAACACTGTTACAGTGGGTCAGGAAACTGGTGGCCTTTGATTAGGTGGGGTGTGAGAAGATGTTGACACAAGAATAGGGTGAAAAAGGGAGATACTGATTCTGCATATTTTCTGTGCCTATACTTACTGTTTATATATGAAAATATGTGTTTCTAACCAGTGACCAATTTTGGTGAACTTTAGGGGGTCAGCGTGGTTCCTGCAGGGGCTAAAGGGAAACTCCGCAAACATAAAGCACTTCATCCTTGCTGAAGTTCTTTATGTGTCTGGAGTCTGTAATTTTCTTGACAGGTTATAGAAGTGCTGATTTCAGTAGAAATTGGCACTTTTACAATTGGGGAAGAAACATTGTCTGATAGCCAGGGCGGGAGGGGGACCCTGAGGGTGGGGGCACCCTCAGGGCACTATAGTGCCAGGAAAACGAGTATGTTTTCCTGGCACTATAGTGGTCCTTTAACTCCTAAATGGCAGAGAATTGAGTGGGGAGACTGCAGGGGCATGATCTGTACACAAAATCCACTTCATTAAACTAAAGTTGTTGGTGCTTAGAGTGTCCCTTTTTAATATGAAGTTGTTTAACTTGAGACCCTTTAAGTAATTGAAAGATTTAAATAGTTGCACTTGCATGTCAGTTGTCACTTTACATGATATTAATCTATTTTTATTTGTAGGCACTTTAATAATTGGTCTTAATTAGACTTGGGCACAAATTAGTTTCAGCTGCACTGAACAAATCAAAAGTTTGTCAATCCATGGAAGAGTACTTTCAAACGTTGGGGGCAGGCTTAGAATCACCAAAACTGAGCACTATTGCTCAGCCGCTGAAAATTTAAATGATTAAAACAGCTGTATGTATCGCTTACTTGGAGTGCTACATACACTATCAGTCTGGGGCCACTAAATATCGCCCCAGCTGACAGAGGGGAGACCTAGGTATTGATTGATACCTCTGGTTTCCCAATATTCTATCTCTGCTTGTTCCAAAATGTTAAGTTGTTCCATGCTGTCCTTATGCTGGTAAAGCCCATTCTCTGGAACACTGCATGGAACGTTCTAATGTCCTGAGCATTTTTTTGCATAATGCTCAGGACATTAGAACGTTCCATGCAGTGTTCCATGCAGTGTCTAAATTATTTTTTTTCCTCATGCAACGTATGAGTGCATTTTAGCAAGTATGGAACATCAACTTTTGCATATGTGCATTGACCCCCTGCACAGCAGCTTCTCACACATATTTTTCTTTAATGATAAGCAGCTGGGGGTTACTACATGAGTGTTCACTGTTCTACAGATCCACATAGCTTACATAGTTACGTAGTACTCTAGGTTGAAAGAAACTCAAGTCCATAAAGTTTAACCTTTAAAACACATCTGTTATGCTGTTGATCCAAAAGAACACCTGCCCCCCCTCCCACTCCCCCCACTTTGAAGCATTGGCTCAAAAAGTGATTTTAAAAAATTCTTCTTGTCTGTTATGTATGCCTACTAGTGAACAGGTTAGCACAGGCACAGGGCTCAAAATTTCCACTAAACACTAGCCATTGGTGAGTGAAAATGTATCCCTGGCAAGTTGGAATTCACTCCTGGCTAGTGGCTATTGCTTACTGTGACGATTACCTAGTAGCATAGGACTTCAAACCCTCGGTTAGCACATAGCAGTTTGTATTATGTTTAACTTGCTGTGGTTGTAGTTCAAATCACATAGATTCTCTGCTGCCTAGCAAGGATTTATATGATGCTGCTACTCTCCCTTTAAAATCTGCAGAAGTACCTGGAGGGTCCCACCCTCAATGTAATCACTGCAGATGTCATTGAAAAAGATGCTGATGAATTGCAGCAAACGGGACTGTTTTCTTTGTTTGTTTTTTGTTTGTTTTTTGCATGTTATTAATGCTGTAGCCTAGTGTGTCCCATTCTATTGATCATTATGGGTACTTATTTATCTTGATCTTTATATATTTATCTTTCAGCTGATGAATGATTTTTTTATTTTAAGTTTTTTTATTTTTGTTTGTTATTGAATGAGTTTTTCTTTTACAGGGCCCAGTGCCCCAATTCATTCTCTCCCTAGCTGCAGCTCAAATTCAACTAAAGCAAGAGAACCGAAGAGAGCATCTTCTCCTGTTCCCACCGAGTCTGTTCTAGAAGCACCACATGCAGAGAGTCATCAAAGGCCATCTCCCTCTGTAAGTGGATTCCTGTTCCACCCTTTAAGACTGAAGATAGATGTAGATTTTACACTGTGTAGCAGCCAAATAAAGTATTATTAATAGTAAAATATATGGTAAATTATATACTAAAAGAACAGTGTAAAATGGAATATCAGTCTTCTTTGCTTGCATTTTTGATTTTGGCTGTAATTCCTATATAGTTCAAAGTATTATTTAAAATGTGTTGTGCATAAGAAAAATTACCTTGTTATACATTGTGTATTGGCTAGGAGAACCCCATTAGATAGTAACATTGATTAATTTTATTATTGCAGAAGAAGAAAAAAAGCGAGGGCAAAAAACTGCGTGAATATGTCCCCCAACGTCGGTCAGGAGGATATGCGGTGCTTATAACACTGTACAAAAACAGCCAAGTAAGAAATACGCTTCTCTTCATCCCAGTGTCGCTCCTGCCACAGACTGACACCAGATGGTGACAGTGATTCAGACAAAAGGGAGATCTGAGCCTCTCCCTCTCATAAAGCATGACTGGGAAAAGTACTGGGAATCTGTTCATCTCACTGCAGGGCAGCACAGTGACTCAGCAGATGGCTGCTGTGAATATCTGCAGATTATTACAGTAGAAATTAGGTGATCAGCTGTTGTGTGCCATGTTGGAAAATACATGAGCTATGCTTTTGGTTTTCCTTTACATATGAGACTGAATGCTGGTATAATATTTTTTTATTTGTAATCTGTTATTTTTTATTTGACCCGCATGTATTTTCATTAGAGTGCTCTGACCTCATTAATGCACATTATAGAATCGATAAGAACTGATCAGCAATGCTCCTAATGAACTGATCATATTATGATGCAGGATGTTGACACGTGAATTAGCCCCGGTTTTATATATCATTACAGTAAGAAACAATCAGCCATTCTCACTGCGCACAGTATTAGAATTCCATAATTATTTTCTCCTTTCGAACTCTGGTTATATGTATGGTATTTTATAAATAACTTAGACCACACAATAATCACAGTTTATTTAAATTTCAATGGGCTAGGCCGTGGGGTTTATTTAAAGTTTAATGGGCTTTCAACCATCATTTCATAACGATAAAAACATATTTTATAAAATGTAACTTTATTTTTAAACCTTTTAACTTTGCCAACCACAAAATTGCCAGTTATCCACCTTTTATTTAAAAACCAATAACCACGATATCCTTCCTCAGAACTTGACCTTTTATAAAGAAATAAATTAATAAAAGGGGAGGTAGGGCAGGGGTCCGTCCACCCTGCTCCTGACCTAATAATTACTGACCGGACTGTTCTTGCGCTGCCGCAATTTATTCTTACCTGGCCTCTCCCCAAATAGCTTGTGTCCCCCAGGAACAGTTGTGTCACCACTTCTACCCAGCTACCTGTCTGCCCAACATACAAAGGGTCATGAAGTTTACCTAACTTCTCCTGTCCATACAAAAAGGGTAAATTAACCCTTTATTGCCACCATATCAGAGCTTGGTTCCTGTGGCATTTAGAACCTCCATAAACCTGTGCTCTAGGTTCCCTTTGAACCAAATAGTATGATTAACTGTAAACTTACTTTTAAAAGAGGTTTTACAGGAATGAGAAGAGTTTTTTTAGATTTGATAAAGGACCATTTTTGTATCAGAAGCAATCTTCTTGCTTTCAGCACACTGACAACTAATGCACTTAGTAATTATATGTAGTATGACATTTAAATTAGTAACTTGTGATGCAAAATAAAGTTCTGAACAGGTTCATTTTATTACAGTGGTAAAAATTGATTGAATCAGCACTAGCCCTTCTGTACGGTGGCACAGGAGGCAGCCTTAGACCATGAGCAGGGGCTGCTAAATCCTTAGTCTCTGTCCAAATAGCTAGACTGGCGCCAGGAGACTTTTGGGTGGGAGGCAGCAGTAGAGTTCAGAGAACTCAACAACCAACACAGGCAGGATGTGGCTGAGCTTGAGAACTTCAGGAGCAACACAGGCAGGATGTGGCTGAGTCAGCTATCCACGTGACAGAGGTAGTGAAGATTGAGTGCGGGTACAGAAAATGCACCTTCACCTGTGTAGCCAAACATCCTTTATCTATATAAAACCAAACCACAATTCACCCAGTCAGAGAGAATGTCTGAGAATAAAGCTGTTTCTTTTTTTAGAGTTCAAGTTACAAAGGTTACATGACCAAAGCAGAACTACAAAGAGAAGCTCAGTCACTGTGTGATAAATCATTCATTCTGGTGAGTTCCCTGTTCTTGCATATCTATAATCACTTTTGTTGTATCTGTATCGTTCAGTACATCTTTACAATTCACAGAAAGGTAAAAAAATACAAAAGAAGGCTGCGCTTAGATAAAACTTAAATAATACGAAAAGTCCAAGTAAAATCAATGCATAAAAAGAGAAAGTCTTATCTGGCAATGTCCGTTGAAAACTTATTATATAATGATACTTGGTCCGAAACAGTGGTCTTGCTTGTTATCTTCCTTATGGACCGTCTCATATGCAAGAAATAAGAACAAATACAGAGCCAAGATAGTGTAGTATATCTTGAATAAAATGGAAGTAGAAATGTAAAACTTGATTGCAAACTCACATTTAAAAGAGCTAGGACCTGCTCTGGTATAGAGGGCACACAGCGGTTTAAATCCCCGCTTATAGGATATGGGATGAATTTCCTTCGCGTCCTTCCTCCTTCCGTAGTATGAAAGACACTCGAATAAAAAGAGACAACTAACAGTGTTCTCTGTATAAAATTTTAAATAAAATAAATAAAATGAAGGTGGATACTCACAAGACAGGAGCAGATCAACTGCTCCTGGTAGTTCGCTTTGGTGGTATAATCCCCACCTAGGTTTGCTTGGAGTCCAGCGAATAAAAAGGAATAATGCCAGGTAACAATAATAAATATATGTGTATAAAAAGATAAATGGTGCAATAAAAGATTACCAAATATACTTTAATATTTAAAATTACACAGTATAAAAATTTTAAATATTTAAATACTAATCTGTGTTATCTAGCGCTCACTCATTGTTCTGGTTTTACATCTTTACAATTGCTCATATTGGGATATATTTGAAGGAATGTTGGTGAAAATATATAATAACAAATCTTTCTCTTTAGATTTTCTGATTTTTTTTATTTTTTTCTGTTAGTGCAACTACTTCACTACCCTAAAGAGACCGGTTATTTTTGTTATGGCTTACACCACATTTAAATGAACACGATGAACACTATAAGGTCAGGAACACAAACCCAAAAAGAGCCAGCACAAGTCAAACACAGCCCTGGCCAATTAGCATCTCCACATAGAGATATATTGAATCAATGCATCTCTATGAGGAAAGTTCAATGTCTCCATGCAGAAGGTGGAGATACTAAATGGCGGTGCTGCAGGAAGCACCTCTAGTAGCCACCTGAGGAGTGGCCAGTGAGTTATCACTAGGCTGTAATGTAAACACTGCATTTTCTCCGAAAAAGCCTGAAGGGAATGATTCTCCTCACCAGAGCAAATACAATAAGCTGTAGTTGTTCTGGTGACTATACTGCCCCTTTAAGGAGGAATTGTGAATGTGACATTTTTCTTTCTGATCGTTCCTTTTTATTCACCCCAGCAAACACTATCCCATTGTTTTGTGGAATCATATATGCAGCAGAGTTTCTTAAAAAATGTCTTCTTCAACCACACAAACTTGGTAGTGGGCATCTTTTTTTAATTTAATAATGCTCTCATAGTTTTTGAGTGTGATCCTACCCTATTGCATTCTATTACCTGAATGGTGTTTATGTGCTCACATTGAAGTTAGATTTATTTAATTTTTTGTTTGCAAATATCTTTCTTTCAGGGTTATTCACTAAAGTGAGTTCAAAGTGAATTAAAAATGTACAGTCAAAATTGCCAAACTGGAAAAATTCCGGTCACTGATGCTTTTCATTAGCTACTCTTGCCTTAAAGGACCACTATAGGCACCCAAACCACTTCAGCTTAATGAGGTGGTCTGGGTGCCTGGTCCATCTAGGGTTAACCCTTTTTTCTATAAACATAGCAGTTTCAGAGAAACTGCTATGTTTATAAATGGGTTAATCCAGCCTCTAGTGGCTGTCTCATTGACAGCCGCTAGAGGGCTTCCGCGTTTCTCACTGTGAAAATCAGTGAGAAGTCGCCAGCGTCCATAGGAAAGCATTGTAAATGCTTTCCTAGGAGACTGGCTGAATGCGCGTGCAGCTCTTGCCGCGCATTCAGCCAGAGAGGAGGAGGAGAGCTCCCCGCCCGTCGCTGGAGAAAGAGGTAAGTTTAACCCCTTCTACCCCCTAGAGCCCGGCAGGAGGGGGACCCTGAGGGTGGGGGCACCCTCAGGGCACTAGAGTGCCAGGAAAACAAGTGTTTTCCTGGCATTATAGTGGTCCTTTAAATTTGAAATTCACTTTTAATTAATTTTAAATTCTCACTTTAGTGAATTACACTACAAGATTTTGAAGAAAATGATGCAAACAAAAAGATTTAGTTTGAATCCGTGGTAACTATTTTGCCTATTAGTTTTGTCTTATTATTCTGATCAAACTAAAACTATAATCAAATTATGTTAGAAAATACTATGTGCTTCTTGTTATACTGAAATCTGTGGGCATATTTTCTTTTTCAGACTGACGCCAACAATAAGTACACAGCTTGGTCTTCCGTCAGTACGTTGATACAGAAGGATCTGGTCATCAAAACTCACAGCCCAGCTAGGTAAGACAAGTAAGCCTTTGAACAAACCATCTAAGTTTGTATTCAATTCCCAGTGTGGAGCAAGTAATTGAGAGGGGGGAATTGTTTTTTAAAAACCATGGTAATTTCATCTTCGTAAAGTGCATCTGCTGCTAGGAACAATTAGGGCAGCTCCCTACCAGAAAACTGCTGCAAAAATATTTGCCAAAAAATGGATTTGCTTTTATCAGCAGGCAGAGGATTTAAAATAACGGATGACACAAAAGTTAGCGGTAAGGAAGGAGAGCTGAAGAGAAAGGGAAACAGCTGTGGTCTGGGGAGGGAAGAATGAAAGGCTGAAGTGGGAGAGTGATGGAAGTGCTCTAAGTGAGAGCCTAATATGGCAAGTGTGTTGTATATAGGGCTGCCATATACACCATGTTTTCTAGGACACACATCCCTTATTCATATTAATGAGCAATACCGAAGTGTTGCCTTGAGGTATGTAGTGTTCACATGCTGCAGAACACCTCATTGGTTAATAACTTAATTTGCTTCCAACAGCATTTCAATTCTACATAGAAGTATTCGTGATTGGGCACACTCATTTGTAAATGGTGATCCCGAACAGGAGCTCTGCTATGTGTTACAGGTGCAAAAAAGGTTAAGATTGACACCTGATGTCAGCCAGGTAGATGTTACATAGTATAGAACAGTGTTTCCCAACCCAGTCTTCAAGGCACACCTACCAGTCCAGGATTTAGGGATTACAGGGTGTGTCTAAGGTGTTTTTACAAAGAAGAAAATAAACACCTTAGACACAACTGGGTAATCCCTAAATCCTGGACTGGTAGTTGTGCCTTGAGGACTGGGTTGGGAAACACTGGTATAGAAACCAATGCACACTAAAATTTAGTAGAAAACAAAAGCATTTCAATTCTACATAGAAGTATTCGTGATTGGGCACACTCATTTGTAAATGGTGATCCCGAACAGGAGCTCTGCTATGTGTTACAGGTGCAAAAAAGGTTAAGATTGACACCTGATGTCAGCCAGGTAGATGTTACATAGTATAGAAACCAGTGCACACCAAAATTTAGTAGAAAACAAAAGCATTTCAATTCTACATAGAAGTATTCGTGATTGGGCACACTCATTTGTAAATGGTGATCCCGAACAGGAGCTCTGCTATGTGTTACAGGTGCAAAAAAGGTTAAGATTGACACCTGATGTCAGCCAGGTAGATATTACATCATATAGAAACCAGTGCACACCAAAATTTAGTAGAAAACAAAAGTTTAATTATTTGTTAAAATTAACTAAATATTAATGAAGATTCACTAAATTTTTCTTTTAAAAAATAGTACAAGCATGCTACCTCAATCTGGAATGCAATATGTGTGTAAGATTTCTCACTTTAAAGAAAACAAAACAAAAAATAACTCAAAAAGTTATCATTATTAAGAAATCATGTAGGAATTTCCAACATTTTCACTTTGTTGTCTCCCCTTCATAATGACCAGGAGGTCACTAAGTGGTTTCTTTGACTTGTGCATTTGAAGTGTTACTTAAAGGAACACTATAGAATCAGAAATACATAAATGTATTCCTGACCCTACAATGTAAAAACACTATTTAGGTGGCCGTCTCCGCTTACCCTCTTAAAAAGGCTTTAAGCTCACCTTTATTCCATCTCTACCGGTGCTGGCTTCGCCTCCTTGGCTGAGATAATCAGAAATGACCATCTCAGCCAATCCAATGCTTTCCCGTTGGAAAGCATTGGGAGGCTAATGCGCACGCACGGCAAAATGCAATGCTGCACCAATCAGCAACTCCTCATAGAGATGCACTGAATCTTTGCAGTTCTATGAGGAGCTTTCAGTGCCTCCTTGCAAGGCGTGGAGACGCTGAATGTCAGTGCTGCAGAGTGTGCAGCTCTTACCCAAGAAGTACCTCCTGTGTTTGTCTGAGTGACTGCCACTAGAGGTGTTACTAGGCAACTTTTCTATGAAAAGGCAGTGTTTACATCAAAATGCTTGCAGGGATACACTATACAAATCAGAACAAGTACATTAAGCGGTAGAGCTGTAATTGTTCTGGTAACTATAGAGTTCCTTTTAATCAATGGCTAATGAAGGAAATGCTTTATAATCTTCAATTCTCATCATTTAAACATAAAAAACTCGAAAACTTGTCTTTAATAATAAACATTTCTGAGAAAAGGCAGTATTTAGACTGCTTTCGAAGTCCACTTATAGTGGCTGTCACTTAGACAGCCACAAGGGGGACTTCCTGGGCTCGGTCCTGCAAAGATTACAGGACCAACATTCAGCGTCTCCACACTCTAGATGGAGATGCTGAAACCCCCTATAGAGATGCATTGAGTCAATGAGGATATGATGATTGGCACAGCTTGGCCATTGCCGCACATGCACACTATCCTATAGTATTTGTTAAGACACCTCTAGTGTCTTTAAGCAAAACCGCCGTTTAGTCGACCTTCCCCATCTGTAATACCAATAATCTCCGTTCGCATAAACTGTAGCGCACGAACCAAATGCAGGGGAAGCGGCAATCTCCGGACCGGGATCCGTGTACGGCTCCAAACTCCCGAACGGCAATCCACGAACTGCTGCTAGCCGCCGAACAATAACATCCACCAAGCGGCTTTCGTTTCCATCCAGCAGTCTCTAAACGTAAAGAAGAAATCCCCCCAATAACGAGACAGAAGCTCCGCATTGAGGGTCAAACAGGATCTGGCTTTACTGTGGGCTACCTGCCCGTATTTATGCAGGTCTCCCACTTGGTGGACACTCCCCTAGGGGACCAAATGGGAGACTTAAATGACAGACAGATATGGGGACATTCCAGACACACAGTCACAGATTTTACCCACAATGCACATGATTCCCTCCCCTCTGCCCTGGAGATAATTACCAAGTAACTCAATTATCTCCAGGACAAAGCCAGTCGCCATTTTAAATATAAAATCATAAAACACCTAAAAATATATAACTTTAAAATAACCGAACTTTTCCCATTCGTATCACATATCCCCAGATAGCCTGGATCTGAGTGCATATTATTAGCGAATAGCGCTCAGATCCCACACACATAGTTCAATCGCCATGGAGTCATTCGGTATACGAATGACTCCATGGGAAGGCTATCTGGGTTAAGTCGTTTCGTATGCTTCAAACCTCCCGAACGGCCGGTATTCGTATGCTTTCGTGGAGGCAGCCAGGCGTTCCGTTGTTTCAGCAGTGTTCGACAGAAAAAGTGTCCGGTTTTAGTTCCATAGAAATAGAGCCAAACACCGCTGGGCTTTCGCGTGGTTTAAAATGGCCGCTGCCTCGTGGTCGACATACGAACGACGACCACCCTGAATTCGGTTTAATTGAGAAGTGTCTGCGGTTAACCACAACGTTCTAATTGGGATCAATAGGTTAACTAGCAGCACACTTCTCTCCTGGGTGGCCGTCCGTTCGGTAGGTTTGTTCGGGAAAAACAGTCATTCGTATGGCCGGGCTATAGGAAACAGCCATTTACACGAACAGGATAGAAACAGACGAATACACCTGCAATAACCAGACAGATGGTTCTGTCACAGTATTTCTTTAGTTAATGTCTAATGAAGTAACTACTGTGCATTCTTACGTTTTTTTTGTTTTGTTTTTCATTCTTTTTTCTTTTATGCCAATCTATATTGTGTTGAGATTCATTTTTACAAATAAAAATGTAACATTTGACTTTACATATAAAATTTTGGCATGCTGGGGTTGGGTATCAATTCTATATACTAAAGGGCAAAAATTTTCATCTAATGACTATCAATATATACACGTGATGAGTGTGCAGAAGAATATGATGTATTTGTCAGCTATATGTCTGTGGGAGTTTGGTTGTCATAGCATCTGTCCATCTTGGCTTTGTCAGTTGTTTAGTCAGAGAAGTATTTTGTCATTGGCTGACTAGGCTATGGCCTGCGGTGGCAGCTCTCAGGCTGCGTCAAGATTTCTTTATGTTTAAGCAGGTGCAGATAGCTGTAGATGCCTATGATAGTTGTAAAATAATTGTCGAGAAGGGGGGCATAGGTTTGACTGGACTAGGTTAGCCAAAAATCTAAATACATTGCTTCACTGTGTGTTGTAAATATGTGCCATTTGTGAAAAGAAATGTATTTTTCTTTCTTTTCAAAGCCTTGAGTGTTTACTCCTGATTATTTACAGACTACCTTGTACAGGCTGCCTAGTACTGCTATTTGAATGTAAACAAAACAGAGGCTATCCTCCATCTGCTTTCTGGATTTACATAATTTATTTATGTTCATGGGCAATACATAAAAACTGCTGTTTTGCCATGTACTGTAACAAATGAGGAGCACAACCACACCGTTATTAAATAGTTGATATTAATCAAAGGAATGGCGTCATGGTACTGCATCTTAACCACAAAAGTGAGTTGTTGTCATTTTTAACTCTATACTTTGTTATTAAGAACACTCTATTATCGCTCCAGTATATGATTGGCAAACTTTGTGTGATGTAATGTGCTCATATAAAAAGGTGTTCATGAGGACAAAGTAGAAATTAAAATTTTAATTAGCTTTTTTTTTGCTGTTACTTAAAATTATTTTTTATTATATGTTCCTAAAATAGTGCAGTTCCTTTGTAACAAACCTGCAATTCATGTGGCGTTCAGTGCGTCTTTGTATAGTATGCAGGGCGTCATTGTATATCTAGTGGTCACACTCCCCTTGCTGAATAACGTAAGACTAGTGTGACTCAACATGTGTACGTTTTTACAGAGTACACATTGATTCTTCATTTGTAGATTTGAGTCTGTGGCAGAACAAATTATAGAGGAGTCATCTGTTTGCCAGTTTCTGTGAGATTAGAAAATATATGCCTAACTAAAGTATGATGTTTTCTCACAGGGCTGTTCACTGAATTGTACCAGATTGAAACTGAGTGGCAAATAAAATGCTTGAATAGCTGATCTGGAAAAAATCTCCAACTTTCTAATAGTCACACCTGGTTTCTTTTAGCTTCCATTATTCAGAGGCTATTTGTCTGACGACACTCCATCTTGCTAGAGGAGGAGTGAGGTCATGGAGGGTGGGCTGAGGTAATGCCAGGTACGTCAAAGAGGAGGATGGACCATGCCGCCATTGGCTGTCTGGTGCTAGTGTGCTGTGTGAGCTGGCGAGTAAAGCCAATTTTGCACAAAATTGACCTTAGCCAGCCTTTAAAGCGGCACTGTCATGGCCGAATCCCGTTTTTTGTTTTTTTTAACCCCCCTCCCGCCTCCACTACATCTCATTGACCCCTTAGTCTCCCCCAAATGCCCCTAAGCCTCCAATATTACCTATTTTTAATCTTTATTTTCTGCCCCGATCTATATTCAGGGCGCCGCCATCTTTGTGTGGGTAGAGGAAGTCCCTGTGGGACACGTCATCTGCCCACACTAGATAGCGCTATGAAATTCCCGCACATGCCCAGTCAGAAAGACGAATGAATAAATAGAAATTTCAGACGAACAAACACTGAATATCAGTGTTCGTTTGTTCGTTCAGTTTATTACAAGGAGGGAGCTACCGGCACGCAACTCCCTCCTTGTAATATGTAAAGATAGAAGCGGCAGGGAGCAGTGCTAAGTGGTAATTTCAGCATGACAGTGCCGCTTTAATTCTGTTCTGGGCTGGCTAATAATGCTGGCATAGGTTAACCTCTGTATGTGCAGTTTCAAAGTGAAACGCTTCACATACAGACTCGAGGCACCATGACCACTTGAAATCACTGAAGTGGTCATGGTGGTTGGAGTAACCTTGTAAATAGAAAATGCTTATCTTTCATTTTGTGCAAATCCCATCATCAGCATTAAGCATTGCCTACTCCAGCATGTTACTTGACCAATCAGGAGACCCTTATTTAGGTCTCTGGAGATGGAACTTTTAGACACTTTGCAACCACGACTGAAAGGGTGTCAGGGTGAGATGCTGGCCAGCTCTCTCTGCAGAGATTTCTTTCTGCTCCGAGCAAGAGTTTCTGTGATTTGTAGTTCATTTATCAGCTTTCCACTTATGAATGAAGTTGACTAAATTTTAATTCCAATAAAGCTCTTTTGTGCTTACTGATGACATGCAAATAACTATCTTCTTGGACACTGCAAGATAGGTGAGAAGAACAATAAGGGACCTGTATGCATGTACAGTAACAATTAAGAAAAAGTAATTTGAAAGAGGAGCAGAGACGGCAGAATGTTGCAAAATATTTATTTGTGCTTGGTAAAAAGTATACAAAATTGGTAAAATTATACGTGACAAAACATGTACACTAATCAGCCACAACATTAAAACCACTGACAGCTGAAGTGAATAACATTGATTATATCGTTACAAGGCTACCCTATTGTTGTACTATATTGGCAACTCTATGGCCAATGCAGTTGTCTAGGTTTAAAAAAGACTAAAGTCCACCGAATTCATCCTTGAAGCACATTATTTTATGTCACAGATCCAAAGTAAGGCAAAAAAGAAAACTCCAAAGGAAAAAAAAATCTGTCTTTACTCCATAACGGATTTCTCCTTAGATCATAAACCTGTTTACATACATATTAATTATATATCTGAATATTTTATTTATGCAGAAAAAGCATCCAAGCCTTTTTTTTTATTATTTATCTATAGAATCTGATAAGACAACCTCTTTAGACAGAGAACACATCTTTATTGTTTTAACCCCTTAAGGACAGATTCATTTGTACACATTCTGATCAAAACAAAACGTTAAAAAAACCTGGAATTTGCGCTTCAACCATAATTCACCAATTTCATATTAAGTTCACCCACACTTATTATATATCATTTTGTGCAGGAGAAACAGGGCTTTTGTTTCATATCACATATTTATAT